TTCTAATTTAAGAGGGTTGTAGCATTCTCGATAAAAGTTTTCAAATCGAGATATTTGAAGATAATGAGAGTATGTACCTTTCTTGGTCTTCGATTTGTCCTGCACAATGAGAGAAGGATGCACAGTCAATTTCGATTGGACGATATCAAAGTCAGAATGAATTCGTGAAAACCAATCGTTCCACCATTGAGAAAAACCAAGAGTAGACAAGTAATTTGATTCAAAAGCATAAGGGTAGAAATGTAGCGGGCTTTGTGGTAATAGTTTGGCAAGTTCCCATCCTACATTCGATTCATTTAACTTGGACTTTGGGGAACTATCGAGATTGAAAAAAGGTAAAGCTTGACTTAAACCGAACTGCCGTGAAAAAAATTTAGGGTAATAGATGACAAGTTGGATATCCTTCGATTGAAAGCCCGATACAAGAACTTCTTGGGTCAAATAGTTACTCCATACATCTACTAGTTCCGATTGTAACCCTGGAGTAAGAGCTGGAAATTTTGATTTAAACCAGGTTGGTCCTCGAAGTCAATCACTTACTTTTCCATGGTATACGGTAAAAGGAGCCAGACATGAATCAAAATGAAATCGAGTTAACAAAAATTTCAGATAGGTTTTATAACTAGCCTCATTGGAGGATTTTTGCTGAGAATGTCGAGACGATAATCGGGCACCTTCTAAATTAAAACTTGGAGAAACTTTGGATGGTGGGGGAAGGATACTTTTAAAAATCGAAGTGAGCCATAATTGAATGAACCATATAGGACCTGAGAAATTTCCGGAGGGTCTTTGTGTATTCAGAATATCGACTGCCTCATCGAAAGTGGTATAAACATGAGCCAGTAAAAGTTTCGCCAAACAAACTCGGGGTTGACCAGTGTGGAGAAGGTAGACAAGATTATAAAAATGGGATGAGATTTGGATAGATCGAGGGCAAAATACATGGGTGCAAAGCCAATATACCAAAAAAGCAACATGTTCTTCATTAGAAACGGTTACCGAGTGGTCATCAATAAAATGTTTTTCGATGAAGTGTCCATAGGCCTTCGAATCCCAATCGATTTTTGATTTGAGAGAGTCGTCTGAAGGGAAAGCAGTCTTAAAATACTTTTCCCCTGTGGGCTTTAATCCGGTAATTGCAGCGACCTCAAAGAGAGTGAGGGAAAGAGGACCACAGGGAAGCTCCATAGCGTGTAAATCTTTATTCCATAAATGGACCGAGGATAAAAACATAGACATATCCAGAAATGATAGATCACATCGAGATAGGTGTAGAAAATCGAAAATCCCTATATCTCTCCAGTGATTCCCAAACTTAGTCTTTACTCTATCAAACCATCTGATGTATAAGGGCTTTTTATGGGGAGGGCCCGTTCGATATACTTTCGAAATAGCATTTAGAAAATCAATCCGTACCTCGGATTTATGAATAGGGGCTTTACTCTTTGAAGGAAGACAGATAGAAGAGGAAAATGATCCACCACAATAGCGGATAGGACCACCAAATGCATAATCTACGTTATCAACTGCGTAAGGTATAAGTACCTGTGTCTCAGCGATTTTCTGCGAAGCTTCTTCCAACAAGGGGACTGGAGCAAACTTTTTTCCATTGATCTCTATTAGGTTTGAAGTTACCGACGATAATGGCGGGGTGGGGAAGTCAGAAGATTTGGAAGTCATCATTACAGTTGTGGAAAGAGTGAAGACAGGGAAAAGGTGTGACGAAGAAAGAAGATGGGTTAGGTTTTTGGTAAAAATAAGTGCGAATTGATTAGAGTATTTAAAGAGGCCAATTAGGGTATTTGAAACGACGAATATGAGAAGAGGGTAAGTAATATGTGGCGTTCACGTTGTGATAATGGAAGGTGATGTGATTTGATATTTGACATAAAGTAGCAAAACCCTAAAAACCCTAAACAATTATTTTTTGGGCTTCAGGAATATTTAAGGGCTGGATTTGTTTTTTTTTGTAAGAATATAAAATTGGTACAAATATTTATATTCTTCCAAGTGGGCATTTTGTTAGTGAAAAAATCGATATAAGGATCAAAAAGCGGAGGAAAGAAAATCGAGGATCATATGGTTAGTTAAAAATTGATAAATCGAAAAGATGGTTGGAAGACATTTGATGACCATGTAACAGTATGAACACATAAATCGAGAATTGGAATCGAGAATTGAAGGAAGAATATTTGATGTCTATTGCTGAAGAAAATTGAGAAATTAGAATCAAGTGTAATGTTAAGGTTAAGGGAAATCAAAAGCAATTCAAAGTTCTCGAGATTTGAAATCGAGATCGAGGGAAAGGTTAACCTACATGGCTATCGAAATTATGGCTAAGTTATAAATTGAGGAACGGTTAAAACGCGTATGGAACGTGGAAGCAGTTTTCTAAACCGTAAAACTTCAAGGGACGTGCACGTGGAACGTGATAGCAGTTTTTGTTAACTGCTCTTAGGAGGTTACCTGAAGGATGCTCTATAAATAGAGCGAAGATTGAAGGAAAATAGGAAATTGGCAGAGAGAACAGAAATGTTAGTGAAAAGTCTATAGGAGAACGACGCATCATGAAGTTTCTAATGCTCTGGATTTTCATTATCATTGATTGTCTTTATCTCTTTCTTTACTTTCCCTGGTAATTTACTTTCATGCAATTTACATTTATCAATTTAGGTTTCTGTACTTTCAATTACTTGTCAGTTACCTTTAATGCAATTTAAGATTCTGTACTTTCAAATTTTTGCCATTTACCGTTTCTAAAATTTCGATGTCCTGCTATTTACTTTCATGCAGTTTTAATTCTTTGTCATTTACAGTTAATGTAATTTCGAGGTTTCTGCATTTACAATTCTTTGTAATTTAATATTTTGTACTGCCTTTCATTTTCGATACGTTTTACTGCTTTCTTTACTTCGTGTTTCTTAATAAAAAATACCAAAAATAATACTTTCGAGTGTCAATCTGTATGATCTGTTGCATTATTAACATTTCTTGATATTGTAACATTAAGAATCTACGTGGTTGAAATTTGATTAGAACCTAAGTTTCTAAGAAATCGAAATCGATCAAATTTTCACCAGAAACAAGATGCTAGACTACTAACCCAAGATTTAGAAGTTATCAGAGAATTAGATTGACTAATAACTTGTAATAGCTTTGTTTTTACAGTTTAAGTCCCTAGAACTGCTGCTTATCTAGTATTCTCGTCTCTTTTCTATTCCATTACCAAGTCCTTGTGTTGATCTACTTCTTCCATTGTTTACCAAATATGAGGACTTTTCTATTCTAAATTCAATAAGATACCAGTTCCTATCCGTTCTTTGTGCTTTGTTCCTAACAATCTTCATCAAATTAATGGTAATTTTATGCATTAACCAATACACACATAAAAATAAACACCTTTCACTAGGCATGGAAGCCAATATAAATAGTAACGTTCCATCTAGATTATATCAATAAGCTATCAACTCATCGTCCCAAAACCAGGCCACATATCATGCTAGCAATGCAATAAAATCATTAAGGTTAAGCTAAAATCAAAGTGAAAGAGTGGAAGGATATAAATTGCAATAATTAACACAGTAATAACATCATGATGAAATAATCATAAAACAAAATATACTGATGAAAAACAAAACATACTAATGAAATAGTAGTTTCATCATTCGTTGTATTACTTTTTCATGCTTTATTATACATGAATCATAATACAAGGTGAGTATCAAGAAAATAGAAAAGGTACCAGAAAATATTTCACAACCTAATGTCCTTGTTTGCTATAGTTAGTCATCTTTATGTTCAGTGGTAAAAAGTTGATATAATTATGCCTTGAATTGTTATGAAACCACTTAATTTATGTTAATTCTAATATATTTTTCCCCCAATATAGGATGAATTCGAGAATACCTTGATACAATAGTAAGGAGCATAATTTTCAGCATAATTGGAGTAAAATTGGAAGAAGGAAGAAGATTTTCAGCATGGAAGTCGCTCAAGCGGGATGAACTCTCGTTTGAGCGAATATCAATTATTCTTCTCTGGAAGTCAGTCGCTCAAGCACAAGAAAATTCGCTTGAGCGAATGTTAGTTATTCTTCTCTAGAGTTCACTCGCTCAAGCGAGCATTTTGTCGCTTGAGCGAAAATAGACAACTTTTGTTTGAGCGAAAGTTGTCGCTTGAGCGAAAGACGTGGGGCCCAATTTTTTCTATAAAAAGATAAGATGTGTTTTGAGAAAAAGAAGCAGTTTTGGGGAGAAGAGACGCGACTAGTGCTAGGGTTTCGTCCAATCTTCATCAATTCTTCACTTCTTCCACATTTGGAGCATTATAATGGCCAACATGAGTAACTAACTTCATTCTCTTAGGATTTGGTGCACTTCCTTTGAACTATTTTGTATCATGGTGATATTTTGATATATTAATCTATGTTTTGATGTTGTTATTCTTATCCTTTGTGCTTTGGAATGATTTATTCTTGATATTTGGGGTATGATTGGAAAATATATCTTGAACCCTAGATCACGGTAAGAATATTTGTTAAGTTAATTGTCAGGAATAGAATGAATGTATCAATTTTTTAACATCCTAAACCTAATGCTGGAAAATCTCTTAATTGTGTGAGGAATCAACATTTATTAGGTTTTCTTATAAATTTCATGTGTGAGGAATCAACATGGATGATTTGAGTAGGTGACATTAACATTATTAGGTTAATTGACGCTCTTAATTGACATAGTCATTATAAAAGAGGGATAAGGTAGGAAGTCAATCCTAAGTGCCTTTAATTGATATTTTCTCAACAATTTACAGTTCTTTGTCATTTAATTTCAATTCAACTCTTTATGCAAAACCCATTCTGTTTTAATCTACTTAGTAAGCATAAAAATTGGGAATTTCCATTGAAATCGTTCATTGTAGGATCGACTTTTATTTAATCAAAGTAAAGATGGGGAGTGAAATACGCTTGTCAATAATTCAACACTTCATCAGGTTGTTTGCTGTTAAATGGGGAGTGGAAGTAAAGACTTTGTATACAGAGCTACCTGGGATCGAGATGAACCATTACAATAGGATCGATGCTCTTGCAGGTGTCCCTTGTCATTATATTTTGCTAATCGAGTACTACTATCTGTCCCAAAAATATCACCACCTTTTGTAGAGCAAATTGGGAAGAAGAACCAACCAGCAGGAATGTTTTCAGTAGACACAACACTAGTCTTAGTCCAAGATAGCTGCACTTTGTATTCTTCCATCACCCATGTTTCCACTGAATGGTTCCACTCCACAACACTTACACTAAGCAAATCTCCAAGCACCTCCAAATAACAAGATTCAAAGTCATAATTTAAAAATTCAACCAACAAAAGTATATCCGAGAAACTGCTTTTAGTTAAATCAAAGGCGAGAATAACATTCATTGATACATCACAGCAAAAAGCCAACCAATGAATAGCATCATTCAAAAGTGAGCCTTCTTTGATAAACTCAGAGCAGTTCAAATAAGACAAATTGGTAGCCTCAATATCTCTCCACACAACCCGAGATTGGATTGTAGGACGCTTTAACCACCAAGTAGTCATCAGTTGATGGGTCATACCCGAAAATTGTAAAAAACATGCACCTCATGAACCACTCAATGATAATTTTCTATGGACACCGGTTGATGGATTCCACACCCAGAGACTTTGACAACAGTTCAGAAGTAAAAACCCCCAATAGGAACCCATGATCTGAACATTATGATAACTATTGGGAGGTAGAAAGTTAAGGTTTAATACAGAACATGAAGAATCATCGTGAAGGGATGCATTAAAATCTATGGATTGAATTTCAAGAGCAGGAGGTACTATGAACATAAGTCTGTTAGCGCTTGCGGTAATTCGTTGAAAATGTGATATTGCAAAGTGTGGATCAGAAAGGAGACAAAGCCATGACTTATAGACACATTTGAAACGAACAAGGGATTTCACAGGCAACATCAACAAGATTTCAATTATGAGTTCCCATGGTAGAATCTTTGTTTTCTTCTTCCTTTCCCTTACTCCTCTGCTACCACCTATGTTATAGGTGATTATTAATGAAAGAGAAATAATAAATTAGTTATTAGAATATAAAAGTTAGTTAAGAAATAAGATTTATAAATAGGAACTAATGTAATCCAAAAGGTATTCTCATGAATATACAATTTTACTGTTGTGTGTCCTCTTCTATTCTTGTGTGAGATTGAGAGAGTGAGTAGTGTTAGAGGATAATTTCAATTAACCTTTAACAATTGGTATCAGTATTGCCGACAATGATGGGAGGTTCAATAACGAATAAAGATCTTGAAAACAGAATTGATGGGCTAGAGAGATTAATGACATCCTCACAAGAAGAAAATTTGAGGAATCACCATGATAACAACAAAGCATTCAAGGAATCACAGACAAGCCACAAAGCCGATATTGACTCGATAAAGATGATGATGGCACATGTCTTGGTCAAATTAAACATCAACGACGAACAATTCAAATATAATACAGAACATGAAGAAGAAGTCGAGTCAGATATTAACTCGAGCAAGATTCTTGAACGAACTCAGATTGCATTCCCTTTATTTAACGACACCAACTTCAGGGAATGGAGAGCGAAAGTTGAACAATTCTTTGAATTAGAACGCACACCCATTAATCAACGAGGTAAATTACTTTTACTATCAATGGATGGAAAAGCATTTGCGTGGCAGAGACATTACATGTAAAACCAATAATTCTAGAACAAATCTTGGAAAATTATTCTTCAAGATGTAGGTAATCGTTTTAATGATGGTGCTTATGATGACCCAATTGCAGAAATATCTCGTTTGAAACAATCAAGATCGTTACATGAATACTTAAACAATTTTGATAACCTGCTTGCTCGAGTTTCATTATCCAAAGACATGGCCATTAGCTTCTTTCTTGCGGGATTAGAAGTTTAGTTGGAGAAATTTGTGCGAATTCACAACCCCAAATCAGTGCAAGAAGTTGTTTGATTAGCAATATTACAAGATGACGTCATTAAGGAATTAGAGAAGAATATATTAATAGGTAAATCTTCTTCCTTTCCCTTACTCCTCTGCTACCGCCTCTATTATAGGTGGTTATTAATCAAAGAGAAATAATAAATTAGTTATTAGAATATAAAAGTTAGTTAAGAAATAAGAGTTATAAATAGGAACTAATATAATCCAAAAGGTATTATCATGAATATACAATTTTACTGTTGTATGTCCTCTTCTATTCTCGTGTGAGATTGAGAGAGTGAGTAGTGTTAGAGGATAATTTCAATTAACCTTTAACAATTGGTATCAGTAGTGTTGGCAATGATGGGAGGTTCAATAACGAATAAAGATCTTGAAAACAGAATTGATGGGCTAGAGAGATTATGACATCCTTACAAGAAGAAAATTTGAGGAATCACCGTGATAATAAGAAAGCATTCGAGGAATCGCAGACAAGTCATAAAGCCGATATTAACTCGATAAAGATGATGATGGAACATGTCTTGGTCAAATTAAACATCAACGATGAACAATTCAAATATAATACAGAACATGAAGAAGAAGTCGAGTCAGATCTTAACTCGAGCAAGATTCTTGAACGAACTTAGATTGTGTTCGCTTTATTCGACGACACCAACTTCAGGGAATGGAGAGAGAAAGCTGAACAATTCTTTGAATTAGAACGCACATCCATTAATCAACGAGGTAAATTACTTTTACTATCAATGGATGGAAAAACATTTGCGTGGCAGAGACATTACATGCAAAACCAAGAATTTCAGAACAAATCTTGGAAAACTATTCTTCAAGATGTAGGTAATTGTTTCGATGATGGTGCTTATGATAACTCAATTGCAGAATTATCTCGTTTGAAACAATCAGGATCGTTACATGAATACTTAGAAAATTTTGATAACCTGCTTGCTCAAGTTGCATTATCCAATGACATGGCCATTAGCTTCTTTCTTGTGGGATTGGAAGTTTAGTTGGAGAAATTTGTGCGAATTCACAACCCCAAATCAGTGCAAGAAGTTGTTCGATTAGCAATATTACAAGATGACGTCATTAAGGAATTAGAGAAGAAGATATTAATAGGTAAATCAAATACTTTTGATTATCCAACTAGATTCACACGTTCTGGACCACATTCACCCTCCAACTTCAGAAACCACTCAATTACTAGCTTACAAACTCAACCACAGAATTCGTCTATGAACATGTCAATTACTGCTTTGCAGACTAGTACCAATTCAATATCTTATAGGAAAGAAACCAGTGAGCGTATTTCAAAAGGATTATGTAGATTTTGCGGTGATAAATGGGAGAAAAATCATAGATTAAAATGTAAAGTTTGGGGAAAGCTAAATGCCATCTTTTGTGCACAAGAAAATTTAGATGCAGAGGAAATTGAAGATAGTGACAATGATGCAAATGAGTCTCTACTGGAAAAAAGTTTAGAATTATTAAATGATGATATGGTACAAATTTCTTTGCATGCATTGAGAGGTATAGTTGGAGGTAACTGACGACACTCGAATGGAAGGGAAACAATTTAGGGTTAGGTTTTAAGAATTGATTTGATTAGAAATAGAAAACAGAAAAACATAAAAGATACCGTAGGCGCCACAAATAAGAATATTTGATAAGCCAAGAAGGATCGCCACAAGAATCGAATAATTCTTGATAAGATCAAGTGATGCAAGGAAGAACCCTAGCAGAGCAACAACTCACAAAGTAATCTGAATATTACCTACATTCCTTCTGAATTCCCAAATGTTTAATACAACTTAAGTTTATGAGTTTGTCTCATTACAGGAAATAAAGATAAATTAAAATCCTAATATCCCAAGCAAAGTTAAGTTGCCCAGATGGTTCAGTGAAGGCATTATAAGCTTTGGGTCTTGGGTTCAAATCCCCACTGTAGCAAATAAATATTAATAATAATAAAAACTAAATCTTTTACTTGGGCCTCCTAGCTCTCCAAACATTTTATGCATGTGATAGGTCTAGACTCCTCCATGTTTGGATCTTTTAATAGTTGGGCCTTTAGCAAATTGGTCACTTTGTATTGCAATGCCTCTTGTGCTTTTCTGAGCCTGCCTCTTGTCATAGGTCCACCTAAGTCTTGGATTGGATCTTGGTCTTGATCCTTCTCGTTATGGGCTTGGGCCTTTATGTCCACATCATTCCCTCCTTCTTGGGCAGCATTTGTCCTCAAATCTATGAATTCATCTCCTGCATCAAAAGGAGTCAAGTCAGCAACATTAAAAGAAGAACTTACATTATACTCTTCTGGTAGATCAATCTTATAAGCATTATCATTGATCTTCTCTAAGACTTGGAATGGCTCATCTCCTCTAGGTTGAAGTTTAGACTTTCTTTGTTCAGGAAACCTTTCCTTTCTCATGTGTACCCAAACCCAATCACCAGGTTGGAACACCACCTTTTTCCTACCCTTGTTAGCTTGCCTCGCGTAGCTCTCATTCTTCTTTTCAATTTGAGTTTTTACTTGCTCATGCAGCTTCTTCACATATTCTGCTTTAGCCTGTGATTCCTTATGCGTGATGTTATTGATAGCTCTACAATCTGTGCACATCCTCCAAGTTCCATCTTTCTTAGGGACTAGAATGACTGGGACTGCACATGGACTCAAGCTTTCTTTAACCCACCCCTTTTGCATTAAGTCTTCAACTTGCTTTTGAATCTCCTTGGTTTCTTGGGGATTGCTTCGATAAGTTGGTCTATTAGGCAATGAAGCTCCTGGAATAAGGTCAATTTGATGTTCAATACCCCTAAGAGGGGGTAGACCTATAGGCACTTCTTTGGGAAAAACTTCTTCAAAATCCTGCAACAAAAAAGAAACTTCTTTTGGAAGACAGTTAGTAAAACATGGACTGTTTGATTTACTTTCTTTACTCAAAAGTAAAAGTATTGGCTTTCTCAATTGCATAGCTCTTTTGACTTCTTTTTCTTTTATAAACAAACTTGATTTTTTTCTCTCTTTCTCTTTTTCTTCCTCTTTTTCCTTTTTCTTTTCACTCTCTTTTTCTTTTCTCTTTTCTCTCTCTTTTTCTTTTCTTTCTTCTTTTCTTTTCTTTCTCATTTTCAGTTGATCCTCACTAAGTTCTCTTGGAACCAAGTGCAAGAGTAGTTTTGTGGTCTTTATGCATAAAAGAGAACTTATTAGTGAAATCATCATGCATAACTCTCCTATCATACTGCCATGGTCTCCCAAGAAGTAAATGACAAGCCTCCATAGGCACCTCATCACACAAAACAGAATCTTCATATTTTCCTATGGAAAAACCCACTTCAACTTGCCTATTCACGGTCATCTCACCATCTTCACTAAGCCATTGAAGTTTGTAAGGTCGCGGGTGTGGCTTAGTCTCCAAATTCATTTTTGAAACCAACTGTGAACTAGCCACATTAGTGCAACTCCCACCATCAATGATCAAAGAGCACAATTTCCCTTGAATGAGGCACCTTGCATGAAAAATATTTTCTCTTTGACAATCATCCAATTCAACTGATTGAATACCCAACATCCTTCTAATCATGAACAAATCTCCTTCTAACTCTCTTTCATCTTCATGCTCATTTTCATCACCAGATGAAGAATCTGAAGAAGATTCACTAATTATTTCTCCATCCTCCTTAAGTAACATAGTATTCTTAGTAGGACATTGAGAAGCTATGTGACCTCTTCCCAAACATTTGAAGCACTTAACCTCACTACTCCTTGTTTTCTTAAGTGCCTCATCAGACTTATTTTGATTTCTATGAGCTATAACATTGGAATTGTTTGTTGATGATCCACCCTCTTTTTTATTTTTGTCCTTCCAACTAGGAGAGTGAAAATTAGATGAACTCCTCCTCATGGCACTCTTTCTCTTCAATTGTTGTTCCACCTTGGAAGCTTGATGTACTAAATCCTCCAACTCAACATAATTTTGC